TATTACACTTTGGGAGATATAACAGCTAGTTAATTGAATAGTTTTAGATGAAATAATTAGAAGGAGGGGGGAATGAGGGAGAAATAGAGATTTCAGTTGTTTGGCTACAGTTTGGGAAATGTTCTGTATGTGTGTAATACTCACATACAGATGGACTTCCAGAAAACAGTGTATAGATAAGCAAGCATCATTTTTCCTCCAGAAAAATAGTGTGCTAGCTTCCAAATAACAGATGATGTAATTCTCTTTTGTCTATGGAACTCAAAGTAAGCATCTTCCTTAAATGGTGTGTGTGAGCTTTTTATATTCAAACATAGGGAAGGCCATTTATTCGTTTTTTTAAACATAACAAAACTCTGTCTCAGATACACAGAAGAAATAAGCATATTTTTACCTCAAGAGTCAGATGCTTCATGCAACCATACATGGAAAATAAAAATGTATGTATTTATGAAGCTCTTAGTACTTTAAAAGACAGCCACTGGAAGGGTAGTCAGCAAAACTGAAACAGATGGAGAAAAGATTTATTGAAACATTGGGTCTTGTCTGTTTATGTGTGTTCCCATATTCACCCAGAGGAACTTAGAAGTAGATTCAATGAGTTCAGTGAGACTTACTTCCAAGTAAATGGGCCTAGAGTTCCAGTTTTAAAGATCTTATAGGAAAGACTAGGTTTAATTATGGTGAAGACAGCTGCATACTGATTGTATTTAAAAGTAGGTTTTCTGTTTAACGATTATCCAATTTTCCAAACAATGTTGAACTGTTCCGAACTTATTCTTGTACGGTGCAGATATAACTTAAATTATACATTACTACCGGTATCTTGTTTAGTACCAGAGATCTGATCACAGCTTTAAAACAAACAAACATTGTTTCTTGTTATGAGAAATGACTCAGTTACCCCAAACCATGTTACATATCAAATTGATTTGCATTTTAAAAGGACTTAATCACAGTTCACACAAATCAAGTTCAATAAGTTGAAATGCTTCTGCAGGTGGAGAGGCACAGCTGCACTGCTTTACCTCAATATCCAATTACTGTAGAAGGAAAAAAATCCCTCACATTCTGCCATGTACTGAATAAAATGTGCAAATCATGAAATTTTTTTAGTCTACCCCACAGTATAACAGGTAGTGTATGATCTACTTGTCACTTTAACCAAAGCACAACTGGTTTACTCACTGTGTCACTGACTTCCATATTTCTAGTTTGCACTTAATAGGATGATAAGCAACTTCAGAAATTTTGGATTATAGCTCTTATTTTAAGGTGGCCATGTTGACTGTGCCTGATAGGGAAGTGAGCTCCAAAAACCTGGAGGTCTCAGATTGCTTATCTATACTTAGGAAATAGGAAAGGACCTTAGAAAAGGGACCCTACACAATTCTGCCTAAAAAAAAAAAACCCACCTTCCCCCCTTCCCTTTCTTTCACTCCTCCAACTTAGCTTACTTTTGTCCTGGTTCAGCAACATTTGTCACTTCTCAAAATTTCAGACTTTCTCCATTCCCCTTCCTTAACATGAAATCCAAATACTTTTGCAGCTTCTCCTATCTACCCCTTACTTACCAAATGCAGGATAAATTTTATTAAATTAATCCCATCTGCTCAGCCAAAGGAAATCTGACAGAGAGACATGAGTTTATTAATCACCATGTAGTTTTATATATTCAGAATGATTGTGGGACAGTTACCAGAATCTTTTTTTTCCGCTCACTGTAGCCTTAGTGGGAAAGAAGTGAACATGTGCAAAAGGTGCCAGAACCGAAAACATAGAAGTGTTGGGGTGCTTATGTAAATATAAATTGAACTCAGGGAATAGTCACTATTCTTGTCTGTACATCTAATTGATTTCACTCTAATATCACCTGCTTTTCAGTACCTTTTAACATTAATTGTACTGGATGATAACATCTAATTTTCTATGAGAACTGAGATAAAAAAAAATCATCTACAATATGCTATAATTTGGCATCCCCATTAGAGGATATTGTGGAAGTAAGTGTGTGTATGTGTGCGAATACCAGAGGTGGTATTCAGCGGGTTCTGACCAGTTCTGGAGAACCCGTAGTGGAAATTTTGAGTAGTTCAGAGAACCAGCAAATACCACCTCCGACTGGAAATTTTACAGTATCCTTCCCTTGCCACACCCACCAGGCCACGCCCACAGAACAGGTAGTAAAAAAATTTGAATCCCACCACTGATATATATGCATGTACTTTAAAAAAACCAAATGTCTAATACTAACTTGAATGTTCCAGAGAGAGAAAAAGTTCTAAACTATTTATTCAAAAATGTTCTATGTGGTTATTTTAAATATATTGTTTTTCCTCCTTAGAGAAAAAAATGAAATTCAGAGACAAGATGCATGCACAACCAGAACTGCTTGTGAATGAGAGAACAAGCATGCTGATAAAGCTTACATGTGCTGACTTTTTTTGATTCCTCTTCATGCAAGGAGGTATTTGAATGAAACAACTTTTGCATAGGGAAGGTTCAAAAGTTCTCATACTACAGGAAGTGTAGCAGCTTTTGGTGTTTTTCTTACAAATTCCAGTGGCCTATTGAGTCAAAACCTATACTCAAGAGGAGAAACATAAATGTGAATCTCTGTTATAGCTAACAAAACTACAACCGATTCTTCTTCTGTATCTGAAATTCTGTCAGATTAATAGTACTGTAAAAGTGATTCAAGGCTGTCCCCCAACTCATGCCATTCATCATTTAAAACCTAGCAAATCTTCAGTGCTTCCACAGATGAGTCATGAACATCTACCACATAGTAGAAGACAATGAGGAATCTCTTTCACCACGTATTTCATGACTGTCCCATGAAAGTTGGCTGCAGTTGACAAATTATTCTCCAGCAACCTATAATCTCGCTCTCAAACTCTGCCAGCACAATACAATAGAGGCTAAAAATAAATGGTTCCACACAGTTAAGAGCCAGTTGTAAGTGAACAGAACTGATCGTGTTTACTTTGTTGTCAGAAAACCAGGACACTCTTGCTATCAATTAACCACTTGGGGTATGCAGAGCTCTAACAAGACAAGCTACCAATGCCAAGTTCTAACTTTCACTTCTTTACCGCCCTTTCATTTCTTGATCAAAGCCTCATGTGAACTACACTAATTTGCTTAGAAATTAAACACAAAATGAGGAATGCAATTCAGCAATTCATCAAAGAACATTGTAGGCAGTTAATGAGTAATTAGCATTATAAGAGAAACAGGATAATTTTCATCGAAGAAGCTTGTGTTAAGTGTGTATTTGTACAATGGCTAAAATCTTTAGGAAGGTACCAGGTCTCTCATTACAAGTGCTGTACTGCCCAAAAGTTTTCCAATTGGATTGATTAAACAATTGTATGAAACATGTAGTCAAAGTCAGACCCAAAGAGATGCTTCAAAGGCAATTCCAAACTATGTTATCTTTGTCCCTGGCCTTACCAGGACTTAGAAAAAAGTCCTTCAACGGCATACATCTAAAGCTCACAAAGCCAGGGAAAAAGGGCACGAGCTACTGAAGCAAATGCTTTTGAAATGACTCTGAAGTTCTATTTTGGAGGATAACTTTGGGTGCTGACGGGAACAAAGCACAAAGATTCTTCAGGTTTGGTTTCTAGGTGAAAGGTCAGAGGCTTAAGATGGGTCCTGAATTAGATGAATGGATTTTTAAGTGAATCATACATGGATGATATGGAAAACAGTACATTATGGTAAAAAAACCAACACTCAAATAATTGGGAAAGAACATATTTTGTTGAAAAGAGCACTTTGATTGGCCTTTAATTTCCGTGGTTCACAAAATGTCATATACCCGTTAAGTAACTGATACCACAAGCTTCCATAAAACATCCACATGGTTAAAGTCAATAGTTCACTGTGTCTTGCAACCTGTCTGTACATTCACAGGAATGAACTGACCCACCTCTCCAAAAAACCTCGTATGAAATGTGGAGATGACCACGCTGAAGATGTTGCACCATGTTTGCCATATTGTCACTCTTCTTTTTAGAAAAATAAGTTAAAAGGATCCCTGATTTGGCTTGTGTTTCTGTCTTTATCCTCTGATTAATCATTTAGCGCATCACACTAAGTTTATTAACTCAAGCCAGAATACTTTAATATCTACTAAAATAGAAGAATTGCTTTGGAGTAATTATTTTCTAAAATTGGGGACTGGTTTGCAATATAAAAGTAAAAAAGATTATTCCCACCATCAATAGCACCTTTTTATGTGCATTACTCTACTCCACAAATAGAGGGGTGGGGGTAGGGTGAGAAAATCCAAACAGTATCTTCATTCAGAATATCCCAGCCTTCCTGAATTATAAATTACAAGTAGAGCAACATTATTTCATATGGGATTATGGAAATAGGATTATCTAACGGCTAATAATTTACTTCTTAAATTACTATATGTCTATTTTGTGTACCAGAGGCCCTCATAACACTATAGCCAAAATACAGAAGAATGTCACAGCAAATGACAAGTTGTAACTGACAAGTAAATAACTTAGACTAAGCTTCACATATCTTTTGAATGCAACACCACCCAATTAAAATACTTATTTCAATGCCAAACACAATGTTGTATTTAGTTCAGTGTTTTATTTCACTGAACTAAGAGAAAGATAGTAAGAGAGAATTATCTGAACTGTCAAACCTTACTCATCTGAGTTGCTTTTACATATGCAAGTAACAAGTCCTATTCTCATGAGTAGGAGGCTGAATGATTAATAACCAGTTCTTCTTTATTGCTGAAATATACAGGCACTTGGGTGGGTTTAGGAACTGTTACTCAAGAGCAAAATTTCAACCTACTGTTTTAGTTTACTGCAAATGCTAAAGGATCAAGGTTTCTTTTGCTAAGAGATTGTTTGGGGCAAGGACATTTCTATTATTCCATGGACAGTTGAACAAACAGCCGTGGAACTGAATGAACAGTGTATTTATCATAGACAACAAATGCATCGTTAAACAGTGCTCACCTTGGAGCAGCAGCTGGCTTCCAGTACCTGCAGAAAAGATACTGCCCATCAGCATTGACCAAGTGAGGAAGCTCCTGATATGGGATTTTCTGGGGAGTAGACCGTGGGGAATTTTCTTCTGGCATTCTGGCAGAGTGACCTGCAAAACATGGAAAGAAATCAAGTCATGCTTTTGAGCAGAACAGGTGGAAGGACTGCTATTGGAAGAATCTGCTTAGTAGAAGGAGAGGAGTTAACCCATAACTCAACCTGTTTTACTTTTCAAAGATGAAGAAACCCAGGCAGCTGCTTGTCAGACTGAAGACTCACTGTGTGAGGCAAAGAACTAGGGGTGGGGGGGGATTCTCAAGAGGTGGGGAAAAAAACCTTACTACACAGGTTCCATACTGCGTTTAACCCCCCCTTTCTCCCTTCCACCTATGTTTATTTACTATCTTAAAGGAGAGTTTATAGTTTAAAAAAAACTGCATTTCTTCTAAGCAGCAATGCACTGTAAATTGGGATGCTCCTGGACGGTTCCAGGCAGCCAGCTGCATAAAAAATTCATCATCTCTTTAAAAAAAAAACATATCAAAAGATGAGCACGAGACACCCTGTAATGAGGTGACTGCCACTGTCTTGTTGCTATGATCCTTTTTGACATGGGGGGGGGGAGGTTGGGTGTTTGAAACGCGGGAAATGTTTTGGGTTTTTTTCCCCTTTTTCTCCCAAATATGCCCACACGCACACACAAAGAATAGTCGTAACAAACCTGATTTCATCCTGTGCACGGTTTTGCATTCCAAAGAGAAGCCGGCATTATAAGTCAAATGCAGTCAGATAGAGCGCGCGTGCATGTTGACGGCGAACTGCAGAAGCGCCCTAACAGCCAGCACCCCTAGCGCCTAAGAAAGCAATCCTTCGGCGTTGCAAAAAAAAAAAAAAAAAGGCAGCAAAAGCTTCGCCGCTGCCAAGAGCAAGGCTCTGATCTTCACCACCACCACCCCCTTCTTCCCCAAGCTCTTTGGGCTGCTGCCTCGGATCGCCTGTCGCTCTGCGTTTTCTTTCTCTCCCGAGCCGCCGTTTGAAGAGGAAACTAGTCTTAATCAATGTATAACCGCTTCTTGTTCATTTCATCACTCCCTTCCCTTCATCTCCAGCAAATCGGGGATGTGGGCTGGAAGAGGAAGGAGGAGTGGGGGGGGGGGGGTTGCCTGTGATGAAGAGCTGGGAAAGCAACAGTCCGATTCCTAGCAGCGGCTTACAGGCAAACACACCCAGAGAGACTTATCAAAGGCACCTTGAACGCACGAAGCGGAGAGGCAGCTGAACGGAAACTTCCCAGGCGAGGCTGGCTGCAGGTTGCTCTCAAACTAAATGCAAGTAGCAGAGGGATGAGCCGAACAGTTAAGGGACGAGAGGAGGGATTTCCCCCCTCCCCCTGGGGAAATATCTGAGTATCCTTCCACTACCTTGTAGAAGGGGTTGCGCGAAAATATCTCGGGTTGAAATCCAAGAAGAACCGAGGTTTTATTTAAAAAACAAACAAACAAAACACCAAGGCTGTGCTTGGGGTTCAGGTCTGCGCGCCCCGCGCACAAAACGGTGCTCGGCGGGCTTTGAAAAGGAGCAGCCAAGCCAAAGCTCTTGGCCGCCCGCGATCCGCGCAATCAAAGGGAAACGCCAGCAGCGCCCAATGGAAGCGCACGCTCCCTGCTCTGGGCTGGGGCAATGGAGGCAAGCCGGGAGGAGGGGAAGGGCTTGGTGACCAGGTGCTGGGAGGAGTTGCGCTTGCCGCCTCTGTTAGGGCTGGTGCTGCTAGGCGCCGAAGCAGTCCTTCCTTCGTTCACGCGCCTGTGAATGAAACCGGCTGAGGCCCTGGACGTTTTATTTTAAAGCGCAAGCAAATAATTTAAAAAAAATATATGCATGTTTTCCTGTCAGCGAGGGCAGACGCGCCGAAAGGGAGGAGGAGCGGCAGCGGGAGGCGCTCCCCAGCAGCGCTCACTTGTGGCCGCGCTGACCTTTCTTGCACGCCAAACTCGCGGCCAGATGGTTTCCTTAGGTGCTGGGGCGGGTCTTTTTTTGGCCCTGGCAGCGAGGGCCCCGGTGCTGAGCGGGACGGGCGCTCGGGCAACAGCGTCTACGCGCGCCTCTGCCTCTGGAGGAGTTGAAGGAGCTCGGTGCGCGCTTCTGCTGCTGCTGCTGCTGCTGCTGTTATTCGTTCGCTCCCAGTTGGGAATGAATCCTGGGAAGCGAACAGCTGCCCTCCATCCCAGCTACTGAAAGCTAGACGCCTTGTAGCTTCTCTGGCCAGGAGGAGAAGACCAGTGCTGAACCACTGGAGGGAGGGCTGACTTTACTTGTTGATTACTAAACATTTTTGTTCAAATTTTTATCCTGCTTTTTTCATATACAGTTGGTCAACATGCCAATACAACTAGTCCTTGACTCACAACCATTCGTTTAGTGACTGAAATTACAACAGCACTGAAAACACTTAAAACTGTTGCAGGGGACCCATGGTCAAGTGATCAAAATTTGGATGCTTGGCAACTGATTTATATTTTTGATCATTGGGATGTCCCAGGGTCACGTGATCACCTTTTGCGACTTTCTGACTGGCAAAATCAATGGGGAAGCCAGATTCACTTAATAACTGTGCCAAGAAAGGTCATAAAATGGGGCAACACTCCCTGTCTGTCTGTCTTGCTTAGCAACAGAAATTTTTGGCTTAATTGTTGGTTTTAAGTCCAGGGCTACCTGTACTCTTTCCTCCTCCTATTTTCCCTACAACCCTACGAGGTTGAGTTGGGCAGAAAATAACTATTATTTTGCTGGCAATTTATAGAATATCTGACCCAGCCCTCATCCCTATGGAAATATTTTCCCCAAAAAAGATAGGGATAAAGGCCCCAGTGCCCATTTTGTGAGAAGATGTTCATGTCATGAAAAAGAGTGTTTACAAAGGCAGCGTATGTGTACAATTGATGACACAATTGAAGTTTTATCATAGAATGTGTATTAAGTTCTGGACATTACTTGGCAACCAAAATGGTAAAAGAACTTGAGATCCCTTTAAGGAAAGGTAGCACAGACAGAGGATATTTCACTTCTTAAAAAAGGCAAATAAATTGGAATATAATAAAAAGGTATAAAATTATGCATAGCTTTAAAAAAGCAGACAGGGAATCTTTCACCCATAATTGTGTAACCAGGCCCAGCTATTAAGCTGAGGTGGAACAGTTCACTTATAAGCAATTCACTCAAGTGAATTCTCTATGACAGTATATGACATTATAATGGCAATGAACCTGTTTAGCCTTCTGGGAGGATTAAACAAATTCTTAAGAGAATAAGTCTATTGATGCCAGCCATGTAAGATGCTTGGATCTTCAGTCTCAGAGGCAGCAGGCCTCTCACTATGGGTTTGAAGAACATAAGATAGATTTTTCTAACCTCATCCTTTTTGAAGGTTTCCCACTGACATCCTGTTAATGCAGGATATTGTTTCTAATACATACTGTACTTAATATTCAGCACAGCTGAATATTAAACACAAGGTATATCCAATTGGATTGTGTATCACAGAATGTGCTGATTATGGCCAGCAAAAAAATAAATAATGGTCCAGTAACAGTTTTACATGTTTGAAATAACTCAAAAATAAATAATTAAATTTGATCATCATGAAGTTAAGGAGGTGGTAGGGCAGAGCTGTCAAACTCCCGGCACGCAGACCGGATGCGTCACATGCCCATGCCCGGTTTAGCGAAGGAGAAAAAAGTCCTGATATGTTATGTGACACAGCCATGAGTTTGACACCCCTGTGGTGGTGGGGGTACTGTAACAATTTACACGGGGCTGCTTTTGGCTAGTCCAAAGTTCTGTTAGGGAGATTCACTACTGAGACAACTCTGGCAGTCAAAAATAAAACTTATCTTAAAGTCATTGTGTTGATTATCGTTAGGCTTCTGCGGCCAGTTCAAAGTGCTGTTTTTAACCTGTACAGTCCTACATGTCGCACCAAGTTATAACATGCAACACTTTGCTGCAATCAGAAGGCTTATTGATCTTGGAAATTTTAATCTCCCCCTAACTGATTTTCAGCTGGGGGGGCTGCTGCAGAGTTCAGGTCCACCACTATAATTATGGACCTGACCCTAACAATTGGGAGGACATACATAGTAGATGTCACATCAACCATAACCTCTGGGCAGGGATGGGGAGAGGCTAATGCCATCTGGAAGACTTGTGATTTTCGGAGGCATGCTCCAATATACTATGGTGTAAAGACTTTTTGGGGATTGCTACTGTCCATCCACCTTGACTGTTGGTCGTCTTCTTTTTCCTTCCACCTTTCCCTGTGCCTTCTTCAGAGAGCTAGGTCTTTGTTATAATGTGTCTGAAATAGAATAATTTGAGCCTAATCATTTATGCCTTAAATGAGAACTGTGGATTGATTTGTTCAATCATCCATTTGTTTGTTTTATTGGCTGTCTACAGCATTCTCAGGAGTCTTCCAGTACCAAAGTTCAAAACCATCATTACTCTTTCTATCTTGCTCCTTCAAAGATGGAATGGGTAGACTTTATGGACTTCACTTCTATAGAGTGCCATAGGAAATATTATCATTCCTGGTACTATTCTAATCTTTGTAGTCATAGTCATATCACGAGATCTGAATATCTTTTCCAAGACTTTCATGGATGCTTTATGAAGTGCCAATCTGCAGCATATTTTTTGATTGCTTGTTCCTTTACTGCTAATGGCTGGTCCTAATAGACAGAAGCTATTTACTTCTTCACCATCTTCATCATTAATTCTAAGGCTGATTGTACCTGTGGTCACTAGTTTGTCTTAATACAGTATTTAATACAGTATTTAATTTTAGTTCCATTTTTTCAAGCATTCTTTGATCTTTATCTCAAGAGCTTGCGAGTGTTTTACATTTTTTTACCATCAGAGTAATGTCATCAGTATAGCACAGGTTCCGTCAGTTTTAAAATCATGTTCATTTTCCAAGCCAGCTTCCCTTAATACTGTATATATTAAGCATGTAGGCTGAATACATGAGCAGAGTATACAGCTTTGCCTAACTTCTTTGCTCATCTGGAGCCTGTTGTTTTGACGTGTTATGTCTGTACCATATACAGCTACCTGACTTGTATATAGGTTTCACACGAGGACATGGACCAGAGGTGGTATTCAGCAGGTTCTAACCAGTTCTGGAAAACTGGTAGCGGAAATTTTGAGTAGTTTGGAGAACCGACAAATATCACCTCTGACTGGAGATTTTACAGTATCCTTCCCCTGCCACGCCTACCAAGCCAGGCCCACAGAACCGGTAGTAAAAAAGATTGAATCCCACCACTCACATGGACCTCTCTCTGCACTTGGATCTTAGATCAGAGAACTTGGTTTTCAGAGGAACTCTTGAGAGATGAAATAGCAGAAGAGTTTCATAGAGTGGTGTTGTAGAAAGGCAAATAGCATGACAACCAAAGCCACAAAATGTAATTATTGTGCTGCTCTTACTGCATTTATAGATTGCCATCCAGCAGTCTTGTCAAGAGTTCCTACCTCTGACTCCAAGAAGTTTATCTGATCTTCTGATCCCTCTTAGAGTAAAAAAAAACAACATTTACAGGCTGACTAGGACTATTTGAGGCACCTATCAAATGTATTTGCTTGTGGGTGGGGGAAGGAGAGTCCTTGTTGCAGAATCCTGTGTTCTGCAGTGCATACTTGATGGCTGGACATGTTGATCATTCAGGCTCTGTTGCCTCTTGATTCTGAGTTTGAGGAGTTTGGTTCACAGTTTAGTTTTTCTTTTTCTAGAATGTCTCTGGGAAGTGCTCATGAGGGTAGTGGCTAGTCTCTCCATGTATTCTGGTGTGATGGTTTGCTCTAGCTGTTCCTTGAGATTTGCTATGACATGCAGATAGTTGTCTAATCTGAGGTGTGCATTTGTTATTATGAGCTGTATCGTTTTTCACCCACTTTTTTCGGCTATTTTCCATCCAGCTGTGCAGTTGCAGAGGTTTCTATCTGACACTGGCAGATAGGGCAGTGAAAAGTTGTTCCTTGGTGGAAGTGTGCCTGCAGGTGATTTTTTTCTCATTTGTGTGCCTTCTGAAGCATTTGATGGGGTACCTATAAAGGAGAATATTTGTAGCTCAGGGTTGAAATGAGAGGCCCTTGAGGTTCTGTGAGCTTGGTTGTTTTCTTGCAGATGTTTCATTACCCAAACTAGGTAACATCATCGGTGCTAGTACTAGTGATAAATTTGCTTGGATTTGCTTTGACTGAATTCCTCTTACACAGGTCCCATTGAATCGGCTGAGTTATAGTCTAGTGTGATTATTTGAGGACGGTTTA